TAAAATAGCAAAACCATATCGTAAACTGTTAATTTGCAAATCTTCAATCAATCATCAATCCATTGTCTGACATTTCACCATTCATGTGTTTCATACAAATTCCATTGTGTTCCCACTCTTCCTTTCTTGATCTTCCCCCATCTTCTGCTGCTAGACATTACGTTTACAATCGCGTCACATACTACTTATAAGTAGCGCGCACCACAGATCTAGTATAAAGAAGGCAATGCCAACAGAACTGATCGCTTATTTGAAATATATTCAAATGTGTTTATTGTTTATTTTTTCTCTCATCTTGTCAATAGACTGGAAGTATTCATTTGTCAAAAAGATTTTATTGGATTATAGATTTACTAGGCATTCGTCCTACACAGTATACAAAACTTATGGATACACTGGAACTACTTGAACGTCTATCGAACGTGAGTTGATTTGTTTTCTGTTGAAATGCCAACTGTACGGTTATTTTTTTTTCATTAATGCAAAAAATCCTGAATTCCATGAGATAGAAATATTTCAGTGATAAGCACGAATTTTATTGATTAAAAATGAAGCTTGCCCTCGATCCACTTCATAAGCAATGACCTTAATTTTTGTCAAGGTCACATAAATGAAACGGAATGATGGTTATGAAGAGATTTCGTCATGACTAGTTCACTTAACATTCGATCGAACAAAAAATCTGTTGAACAATGAATGAATCAGACACTATCGAATACATGCAATAATGCTGAAATGTTTTATTCATTTCTGCTGAATACCAGTTTTTTTTAAATCTATTACACTAAATAAATTAACCAAAAAAGTGACGAAAATGTATTTTTAACGCACATGTCTGACAATAATATGTAATTTACAACTCCACACCTGGAGGTTCACAATGTCATCGCACCCTCTCTGCTTAAAAGAGATATTAATCTCTTGGATCGAGTGCAGAGACGAGCAACGAAATGGGTGATAGGGTTGAAAAATAAACCCTACGACGATAGACTCCAGCTCTTGGGATTATTTCCACTGAGCTACAGGAGAATCACAGGTGATCTGATTATGGCGTATGACCATATTAAGGCACGCTAAACCATCCCAACATGAGCATCTTACCGATGCATCATCACCACACCCTTCAAGGTTATCCTCGAAAAATTGAACATCAAAGACCGGAGACTCAGCTACGTTCACACTTTTTCTCATTTAGAGTCGTTGCAACTTGGAATGCTCTCCCAGCGGTGGTGACCACAGCCCACTCAGTAGACCGCTTTAAAAAAGAACACTTGATAATCACGTACTCACATACCGATTATCATCTCCCTCTTGGACAAGCTGTTCATGATGCATATCTTGAGACCTACTAGTTGTTATTATTGCAATCTCCTCAGATCACTTACTTAATCTATCTCTCCTCTAATCTCTGTTTCCTCTCCCTTGCTTAGACTTCGGTCATCTCGCACAATCTTCACTACCAATTAATACACTAAATCATCGCTGCATTACTTATTTCCGAAACTTTATTCATATTAGCATGAGAATTTTACCCTTATTACTCTCCACATTGCAACTAAATGATCTCCGGTCTAGTGATGTGATAGTTGCTAGTATCCAGAAACCTTATTGCCCTGAAACAAACGTTTTAATTCAAACCCGGAGACATACAAACTCAAAACCAACTGCCAATTGACTAGAATTAGACAGTCGAGTGGTTAGACCTCCATCCACTGGACACTAACCAACACCTGGAACCTAACTGAAAGAACAAGAATCGAGGGGGAAGAAATCAAACTGGTTTACACTAGCTCGTGAAAAAGATATTGGATGCTGGATAAACAAGATATAAACTCAACTGTTAGCGAACTAATGTTTCGTTAGTAAGATATTCTAAAATTATTATTATACCAGCTCCAGCTTAAAGAATTATAGTTAACTGCCTATGCTTCATTAGAAGTAAGTAAGTAAGTAAGTTAGTAAGTGTTGTGGACGTCAGATCCCCTGAACTCACTTAATAAAGGTCCTAATTTTGGATTTTATGTGTTTTAGCGCATTGGCTGATCACAGCTGACCTTGAGATTATAGTCCCCATTCGGAAAATCATTGACTGTTATCGATTAATGTATTACTTTAGCATGTTATTTTTGTGGCTCTCCCAAGGACGTTTCTATCATATAGAAATAAACTCAATTTGTATGCTTGTGAACCTCATGTTTTCTGGGTGCTTGTAGGTTACACTTTCTACGCCATGTCAAGACTTCTTCCTCTACTTAGTGGGGCCTTGGAATGCTCGGATTAGAATATATATATATACATCAATTGTATTTCATTACACCATAGATTCCGACACATACAAATCAACTCATCTATAGGTTTGAATATTGAAATTTAACAAACACACACAGTGACAACAACAGTAGCCATATTGAACATCGTACATATGAAACAGTTAAACAAACCGCTATATATATTGATTGACAAATCATTTTCAAAAATGAAACAAACAAACAACAAATTAATCCGTACAGATTATCACAATGCTTAACGAGTGGATTATAGATAGATAATTACATATTATATGTATACTTTGTATCAGTAAATAAAATCATTTTTAATCTAATGATCATACTATCGAAATTAGTCAATGTATACGGATGGCATCTAACAAAAACTATTTAATCTTGAATGCTAGAAAAGATAATTAACAAAATTTAAGAGTAAGATTTATAAAATAACGAGATTTAAATGTTTAAATTATCGATAACAATAGAATATTTGATTATTAACAATTTTATTGTGCTTAAAATCTAAAATGATATAAGTTAGTTTCCGGTTAACTCCACCTGCAGCCCCTCTGGGGTCGATGCCGGTCGCGACCCCGGAGGGTTGGGTGTGAATTTAGCCACCTCATCCTGTAGAAAATCAACTCGCCAGAACAAATAGTGCAGACCATTTAAACTATCCGTCAAGAGTAAGGTCTTCATTTGAAAAAAGTTATGTCGCCTCATGAAAAAAGTCGAGTTCCTTCGGATGTCACGAGGCATCTTATGACAACCAAAACAATCATTAATTTGGGTGCATAGAATGTTCGAACAATGTGGGGAACTGGAAGAGTGTTGCAAATCACTGTAGAAATGAAAAGATACAACCTGTAGGTACTTGGAATCGTAATAGTCCAGGCATATCGTAGGTGCGTAAGTAAGTAAGTAAGTAAGTAAGTAAGTAAGTAAGTAAGTAAGTAAGTAAGTAAGTAAGTAAGTAAGTAAGTAAGTAAGTAAGTAAGTAAGTAAGTAAGTAAGTAAGTAAGTAAGTAAGCAAGTAAGTAAGTAAGTAAGTAAGTAAGTAAGTAAGTAAGTAAGTAAGTAAGTAAGTAAGTAAGTAAGTAAGTAAGTAAGTAAGTAAGTAAGTAAGTAAGTAAGTAAGTAAGTAAGTAAGTAAGTAAGTAAGTAAGTAAGTAAGTAAGTAAGGAAGTAAGTAAGTAAGTAAGCAAGTAAGTAAGCAAGTAAGTAAGTAAGTAAGTAAGTAAGTAAGTAAGTAAGTAAGCAAGTAAGTAAGCAAGTTAGTAAGTAAGTAAGTAAGTAAGTAAGTAAGTAGGTAGGTAGGTAGGTAAGTAAGTAAGTAAGTACGTAAATAAGTAAGTAACTGATTTCTTTAGTACAAAAAATCCTTATCATTCGAATACAGTTTCTGCTTTGTTTCTTTTTCTATCAAAAACCAAGTAACATTTAAAAATACTGAGAATTTTTTTAAATAATTCACTTTTTCTCATTGTTTTTCAGAATTTACTAGATTTAAAAACCTTACCAATATACAGATCAAATCAAACTGTTAGCTTGGAAGAATTAAAATCTATTTGTTCCGTGGTAAATTATGGTTGTTGTTTTTAAGTTGAAATTTTGTAAGGCGAAAGAAATTCGAAAAATTTTTTATTTTAAACGCCATTAATCGATATTAAATGGTGAATTGAATGATTTAAACAATCAGTAGTTGAGATAAATTTTATCATATTGAATCGATTAATGTTAGACCACCATTAGAAATCTGGAAGCACTGAAAGACGGCCATTTCGTCCTGGTATGGTCTAACGGTTAGGGCGTTCGCGCACAGTACCGAAAGTCCTGGGTTCGAATCCTGTGGGGTGCAGGGGTCGTGGATGCGTACTGCTGAGGAGTCCCATACCAGGACGAAACGGCCGTCCAGTTCCTTCAGGTTTCTAATGGTGTGGTCTAACATTGATCGATGCATGGTTTCAAAAAATTGTGTAACTTAACAATCTTCACAACCCCGTAATGATAATAAATTTGGTTTATCACTCCAAATAAAGTTTGTTAAAGTGATACTTTCAAAATCGTAAGAAAAAACCCCAGTAAAAATGTGAATGTTTAACTGGCTGAATATTCTCATAAAACAGTACATTTTTAGTAATATTGATCATAGAACTTTGATAAATATCTGTCATTATTTAGGATAGGTTAATATTCATATTTGTCATGTTGAAATCATGAATCAGTGACTGTTAGATCACCAAAAGAAAGTTAGAAACACTGGACAGCCGTTTTGTTCTCATAAAGGACTCATCGACAATGTGTATCTATGACTCTTGCTGCTACTCTTGAGAATCGAACCCAGGACCTTCGATCTTGCGCATGAACGCTTAACTTCAGGACCACTATACTGCATCCATCTAACGGTATTACCGTCTAAATCTATTCAGTTTTGGGATTTTGTGCAACCTTAACCGTTTGTCTTCGGCAGCTACTGCCTATACCCGACGGAGTAGAACTCTATTGTTTACCCCTAGATACTGGCTCAGTGATCCAGAGGTTAGGTGTTGGCGCGCAATACCGAAGGTCCAGGGTATGATTTCTGTGAGTTGCAGGGGTCAAGGATGCGCACTGCTTATATGTCCTATAGGAGAACGAAACAGCCGTCCAGTGCTTTTGGATTTCTAATAGTGTATGTGGTCTAACAATCATCGATTCATGATTTCAATGAATATTTATATGTTTTGAAATTAAAAATAAGCATTGATCCACACTTGTAATTGTGAAACAAACAATATTCAGAACAATTTCATGAGCAAGAAAATCCACTGAAGAGAGCTTGTTACAAATTTTGGCTTGACTGGCCAAACAATACTATTCTCATCGGCAGTGCTCATCCACGACTCCTACACCTCGCAAGATTTCATCCCAGGACCTTCGGCATTGTGCGAGAACGCCTAGCATTTGGACCTTTGGGTCGTCATCCACCGGTGTCAGTGTCTAACTCTGATTGATCTAGGCGTTCGCTCACAAATGGAATGACAATTACTAATATTTCAATTTGTAAGTGTATAGTAGGAATTCGCACAAATTAACTTGTAGTTCAATTAGTGTGGATAAATATTAACTTGACCAGTGAACAACATTATGATATTCATTTGAAATAAGGAATCGATCACTGTTAGACCATCATAAGAAACGCGAAAGAACGGGACAACCGATTTGTTCTATTATGGGACTTTTCAGCAGTGCGCATCCACGACTTCCAGTTGTAAGAATCTAGCCTAGGAACTTCCGTCCTGCAGGAGAACGCTTAACCTAGCTTGTGACTAGTTTCGCGAAGGAATTCTTGGAGTTCTGGTGAGAAGCCGGAGTTCAACCCTACTGTATGTAGGCAGTAACCACCACAGACAATGTGTGAGGTTGATCAAAGGTAGACATTAACATTGTTAGATGCCGGCCCAATAGTCTGGAGTTTAGGCGACCACATGCGAGACCAAACGCCTTGTCCCCAAGTCCCGTAAGCGGGGGTCGTAGATTCACACTGCTGAAGAGTCTCATACTATCAAGAACCATCCATTCAATGCTTTCAGGTTTCTAATAATGGCCTGACAGTGATCGATTTCTGATTTCAAATGAACAAAACTGTCCAGTTTCTAAATTAAAACAAATCTAATCTTGAAAATGAAAGAAATAATTGTGGGAAATATTATCTTTCACAAATAAATACTTCATTTATTATCTGTTCTGTTTAGATCGATTGGGATTATTTATTCTATAAATTGTTCAATCAAGCTGGATACGTTAATTATACAACATTTCCAATAAAAATAGAAGAAAATTTCATCTTCCAATATCGTTGTGGATTGCATAAAATTCAGCTGGAAACAAGATCAGGCAAAAGGTATTGTTCATCACGATTGAATTTGAATCTGTGTTTGTTTTTCTTTCATCATGTAATCAATCGAGAAAGCAATCAAAAAGGCGCGGAAAGTGATCAAGTATGATTAGGTTGACGAGTCATCATTGATTTACAATAGGAGATTGAAGTATACTTCAAACAGTTAAGTTACGAGGATGTTACTTTTGCCAATAAGTTGCTTTACAGGGTTGTGAAGATTGTTAAGTGACACATTTGAAATCACACGATTCGAACCCAGGACCTTCGGTCTTGCACGTGAACGCCTAACCTTTGGACCACTGAACCAGACGGTACCTAACGGTATTCATTTCTAATTTCGATCAGTTCACGGAGTTGCTTTGTTAAAAACAATAAAGTAACTTGTATTATAATCTGTGAGTTGTGATGTTATGAGTGCTAGTCAGTGAATTATTCTCCTTTGCTGATCTTAAGTTATTAATGATAAAGTTACGTTCGTCACTAGGTATGCTTGAAGCTATTACGAGTTCACCTTAGTCGATAAACGCGAACGAGACATGGAAACACCGTCCAGGTCGGCTACCTTGAATCCCAAAACGGCAAAACAGAAGACTTGATAAGCGTAGAGAGTATATTCTACAAACACCCAGCAAGTACACAATATACAATCAAGCACACAACTCTCGTTTATTTATACATCATAGAAACGTTCATGGAACAGTCACAAAAATAGCACAGCAGCCAATCACAGCCATGAATTTTCCTGGAGGGAAATGAAATCTCAAGGTTAACTGATCAGCCCATGCTCGCAAACGTGAAATCCGAAATATCTTTCCAAAATAACGATGCTTATTTTCTTCAAGTTCATTCTGAGTATAGAAAATTCATCGTCTACCTTCAGGTGAATGACAATCAAGTCTCCACAGATGAATGTTAACATAACTCGCGAGAGGATCTACTTAGATTATTGATCTTCTTCGGAATTCCTAAAGTTTTTATTCAATGAACTTAAGAACTATTGAAAACTGACACTCAGACAATGTGAACATATATTTCAAATAATAATATTTTTTACATAACAAATTGAATAATTAATTTTCATGACAGATATTACATTAATATATACTTTTGTATTTATTCTAGACAAACAATGATTTAATTTTTAAATTTCTAATGATTTCATTTTTTAAAAAGTATTCTCTACAACATGGCGGTTATGACTTTTCTTCTCGAACAAACAACCTATTCATTTTATCATCACAAGGCTGACCTTGTAAATAGACCAAATCCAGGTGGTTTGAATTATTGATCAGACTGTTCTTTTTTTTAAATGGTTATCATTGCTTGTATTCATTCAATAGATTGATAACGATTATTATTATTATTATTATTATTATTACTGATAATTTTAGTAGTATCGATCTATCTATCTATCGATCTTGTATGATACAAAGTTTAGCATTTCAGTAAATAATGAAATGTGTTCATTGTGTCACTTTGATATCGAATTGAAAGTTGAATGGAACTGAAAACTGTCATCCATCGATAACTGATAAAATATGAACAGAAAATTGCGTTTACATCTGACTTGTCACTTATGATGACCTTGAACTGACTATTAGTAAAACAAATACACATGTTCAATGTTCAAATAAAAGACTAATCATGCAATTGATCAAGCATGTTATTCTTGTATTATTTTTTACGGAGATTCATGTTTTTATGCATAAAAATCATCAGTAAATCAATTGTTAGACATCATCATCAGAAATTTGAACGCCCTGGACAGCCGTTTTATCCTAATATGGGACTCATCGGCGATGCACATCCATGACTCTTGCACCTTGCATGATTCAAACGCATGATCATCAGTCTTGTGTGTGCGAATGGCTAGCCTCTGTGCTAGTGAGCCGGCTGGCATCCAACGGTGTTTTAATGTCTCACTCTGATTTTACATGACCTTACCCATTTATCGTTGGTAGCTATTGCCTACGAACCCTCATGGTCAAAGAAAAAGAGGCAGGCCAATGAATACATTACATCGAGAAATAGAGAAAGATATGAGAAGAATGAACAAAAACAGGAAAGAACTAGAAAAGGAAGCCCAGGACAGAGTTGGTTGGAGAAAACTGGTGACCATCCTATGTGGGTAACAGGCGTAAGTAAAGTTAGTAAGTTACTGCCTACACCCATACCAGGACAAAACGGCTGTCCAGAGCGTCCAGGTTTCTAATGGTGCTGTCTAACAATGACTGATTGATACTTTCACTGTGTAAATACACTAATCTCCGTATATATCTAACTGAAAATCAACTCTTAATAATAATAAAGTTTATACGTTTTACAGTTTTTCATTGTGATAGAACAAGTACTGTACGCAATGTCCTAAGCTTTATAATTTAGGCTATTCAGTTGACCGACTGGTTTAACACCTTCCAAGTATAATTACAAGATTGCCTCCCTCGTTTCTTGTACTCTCACATTAGGAAGTGCCATCTACTTCTCACCTCATTGTTTGAATCGAATGAAGACTGTATTTCCATGGACATTGGAAAAGCACTATCTATCTTCATATGTTACTGAAGAACAAAAAAGGGAGGTAAGTTTTGATTTGTTGAACAACTATCAAAAATAATATGAATGATAGTTTTCTATTTCAAACTTTAATACGGAACAGCGAACTGATCGCATGAAACAAGTTCGCTTAACATGATATTCTCTCCTTGTTACTTGGAATAAGATTTCGGTCAATGATTATCAATTGAGTTTAATATCAATCAGGAATACCAAAAACACTTTGACTAACTTGATTACTCCTGTTACTCGACATAGAGCATAGGTTGCCGGCCAGCGTTCAACAACATACTATGTCCTAAAGGCTTTTTGTGCATTTCTACCCAGTTGTTGTTCACTCTTTTCTAGTTTGTCCACTATTCTCTTCGTGATGTATTCTTTGAGATGCCTCTTCTCCTTTGGCACTGAGGATTCCAAGTGTAGGTTTGTCTTCTAATGTACATGATTTACACTGTAAGCATGCTATCCTCCTCCAGAGCTTCTTGACGATTTCGTCCTATGATGATACCTGGTCAGCCCTTTCTCACAGTAGGTTGATGCTTGCATACAGAATGGTCTGAAACACAGTTATTCCTAGACACGTTTGATGTAGATGTTCAAGGTTGAAGTGAATGTTTATACTAGTAACCATAAATCGGAGTCAGATAATTTGAAAGTCAGTTTTAGCCAATTAATGTAGCATCAAACTCAAAAGATACTATTAACACCTAGAAAGTATTATGGGGTTGTGAAGATTGTTAAGTTACACATTTTTTGAAACCATGAATCAATCAATGTTAGACCACCATTAGAAACCTGGAAGCACTAGACGGCCGTTTCGTCCTGGTATGGGACTCCTCAGCAGTGCGTATCCACGACTCCTGCACCCCACAGGATTCGAACTCAGGACCTTCGGTTTCAAAAATTGTGTAACTTAACAATCTTCACAATCCCGTAATGCAAATTACCTGTGCTCACTAGTGACTAGCGTCGTGAGGAATGTTCTACGAGTTCTAGTGGGAAGACGTGACCAGTGAAGTTCAACCTGTTCGGGTGTAGGTAGTAACTACCGAAGACTGTGTATGAGGTTGCGCAACTCTGTGAATTGATCAAGTTAGACATTAACACCGCTTTATACCGGCTTATTGGTCCGATGGTTAGGCGTTCGCGCACAATACCGAAGGTCTTGGGTTCGAATCCTGTGGGGTGCAGGAGTCGTGGATGCGCACTGCCATTGATGAGTCCCATACCAGGACGAAACGTCCGTCTTTCAGTGCCTCAAAGTTTTTAATGGTGTAGTCTAACATTGATCAATTCATAGTTTCAAAAAAATATGTAACCTAGAAAGTATGTGATGATGTTAAAATAGTGACCATTTCGTGAAATGTCAACTTTTCCGTAACATTTTACATGCAGACAATAATCATAATTGTGGTGATATTTCATTCTCTCACCTAGATATTTTGGTTGTGTAGCTTTCATTGTTTTACTTCTGAACAACAACATCATCAGCACAAACTTCAGATAGCAGAAATGAAGTATTCACATTTCTCCACGTTTTTTGTAGTATTATTTTTCAATAGTAAAAAGAACAAACTCTGAGATTTTCAAAGACTGAACAGCTTTAAATGGATTAACTTACTTGATTATTCAATTCAACCATATATATACATTTTTTTTCTCATTTACAGGTTTGGGAAGTGGTTACAGCAGTGAGAATTAGCGTTATTCAATCAATCACTCATGCTACCTGGTTAGATCGTATTACAAAACGTTTTGCCAAAGAAAAAGTTAGCTTGTTGATGTTTTTTTCCATTTTCATTAATTATTACTTTAGATTAGAAATGTGAAAGCGTTTGTCTTGTATTCTGATGCAAATGGATCGGGACGTAGAGAAAATCTTTCAGAAATATATCAGGTAAGCATTTTTTGACTTATTGTATAATTATTGTGTGTGTGTGTGTGGGAGAAAATTCAACTTTTAATGCTGCTGAAATTAAAAACAATAAAGGTCACGTGATTTTTAACTCATCTGATTGCTAATAAACCATGTTCATAGAATGGGGGGATCTCACGAATGTCTGTAATAATGTTTAACTTCAAAAAGCATGTGATATAACTTACCCGATATCAATAGGCACTGATAACTTATACTTCTGTAGGATTCCTGTACAGAATTGCAATCTGGTATTTATGAGGTATCCTTCTTGCTGGTAAACTTGCAGTTGTTCCCTTTACGTTCTATTGTGCGCTGTAAACAATTAGGATTACGGGGGGACAGTAAAACTAACAGTATACTGATGCTGAAGATTCCATGCTACCGATGCTTATCGAAGTCGGCTCAATTACCGATGACCATAAAATTATTTTGGGGAAGAGGTTTGGAGGTTTGTGTTTTTACAGTCGTGGATGCGCACTGCTGATGAGTCCCATACCAGGACGAAACGGCCGTCCAGTGCTTCCCGGTTTCTAATGGTGGTCTAACAATGATTGATTGATGATTTCAAATGTGTAAAAAAAACACAAACCTCCAAAACTCTGTCCGAAAATATCGTAACAGTGCTCACTAGTGACTAGCTTCGTGAGGAAATTCTCGGTAGTCTTGTTGAGAAGACGTGACCAATGGAGTTCAACCCTGTCAGGTGTAGGCAGTAACTACCAAAGACAAGTGAGTAAGGTCGCGCAAAATCCTTAGATTAATCAGACTTAGACATTAACACCATTGGATGCCAGCCCAGTGGTTCAATGGTTAGGCGTTCGTGCACAATACCAAAGGTCCTGGGTTCGAATCCTGTGAGGAGCAGGAGTCGTGGATGCGAACTGCTGATGAGTCCCAAACCAGGACGAAACGGCCGTCTTTCAATACTTCCAGGTTTCTAATGGTGGTCTAACAATGACTGATTGATGACTTCAAATGCATAAAATTATTAAATATAACGTTCGGTCATTTGCTGTTATCTTACTTCTTACAAAATATACATTAGTTTGCATGTACGGAATATTGAATTTCAGTATCCTATCAATTCATCAAACCATTTTATCAATGAATATTATGCACACAAAGCTATCAATTCAGATAAATTGAAGAAAAGTTTTCGAATGTTAAGTAAAACGTAAGACATTATTTTTCTGTTCGATTTTGAACGTTTATTGATTCTTGTGACATTCTTTGAGTGTACTGCTGATAGTTTGAAAAACAGAACTCGGTGATTTGTGTGTAGAAGACTTGTAACAATGATGAGAAAATTCGTGGCAAGAATTTTCGCACCAGCGAAATGCATCGAAATAGACCTAGTGTTATGATATTCATCCAATATCCTAAGAGAATTATTGGTCAATTTCTTATTGGTTAATTCCTACTGGTCAACTTTATGGTTATCCTAGATATCAATGTCACGTCAAATGTTGCTTCCTAATGGCCATTTTAACTGTCACTGTCACAGAATTCGATGCTGCTGCCTATTCGACTTAAATGTATAGATACGCATCATCTGTAACGTTTTATGACTACGACCCGTTACCGGATCCCCAGTCCGGGATCCGAATTCTCTTCTGGAATCGGGCCTCTTACTTCCTGGATGCTTGTAGAATACTGGGGGTTGAGACACTTGGATTAGAGATGCATATTGTGTCGCCCGAATCCTCGATCCTCACTCTCGTTTTCCAACTGAGGTCATTCGTAATAATTCAAGTATATCAACATGACATGTTTAACGTTCATGCGTAGTAACACATAGTGTATATATCAACATAACACTAAGCTTATTTGATGAGTAATTAACACAGTGATCATACATAGGGCAAACATGCATAATGATCACAAAACTAAAAATTATGTCAAACTAAGCAAATTTTCACGCTCAAAAATGAAATGAATATTGCACTGAGAAATTAACATATTCAATGAGGGTAGAAACGATGTTGAGCAAAAATCACTCCAGCTAATCTAGTCACTGTTCACCATTTCTGTTTTCTTACTGTTTTAAATTGTATTTTCCTCAATTGAAACAATTTACATGATGTCAGTTCTTGAAATGAAAGTTTTATTGCATTTCCGGATTATATAAAATAAAGTATACAGTAAATACTTAGTCATCGTTACGGTTATCTGAAATCGCCTTTTCCATTTCGCTTCGCCTTGCTCTTACGCTTTATATTCTTATGTCATTCCGCATGAATGATTGCATGAAGTAAACTTATCCAACTAGATCCGTGTTTTGTCGTCTCACAAACGAGGTTTGCCTAAGTATGATATACGAAAATCAAAACGAAGATTTATTTCATCACGTACTCAATCATTCATCCGAATCGGAGTCAGATTGAAGGTCACTAAAGTGATGAGCTCTACTTCTAATTTGACTTAGGCTACTAAACCAACAAATATTTCTCGGTTGCGATGATTCACAGTTATTAATTATCAAAATGTACAGCGTTTTATTTGAATTTTTACTCATTTATACTGTGGTACGAGTTACTTATAAGTATTTTATAACGTGAGCGTCAATGCAATGTCTGGCAGCAGAAGATGGGGGAAGATCAAGAAAGAAGGAGTTGGAACACAATGGAATTTGTATGAAACACATGAATAGTGACAATGGATTGATGTTTTGCAACAGGAACAGTCCAGTTCGATATGATGAACTGATATTTTGCAAATTAACGATTTACGATATGGTTTTCCAATTTTACTGAGTAACTCTGTAATTTTCGTTAAATACAATCCGATTGCTCCACCTGTGTTCTCCTTCACTACAGCATGAGGTATGTAGTGTGTGCATTTCGCTTCCAAATCATGAATGAATCATTGTTAGACCATCATTATAAATTGGGAAGCAATGAAAGACTGTTGTTTCGTTCTGCTATGGGACTCATCAGGCTACTGTTCACTGTTACTCACATTATTCGAACCTAAGACATTGGAGTCTTGAGCGCGAACGCCTAATCTTCTCAGTGGTTCAGAAGTTAAGCGATCGCGCTCAAGACTGAAGGTCCTAGTTTCGATCACCGCCAGAAGCAGGAGTCCAGGATGAGCACTACTACTGATAAGTCATACACCAGGATGAAACGGCCATCTTTCAGTGCTTCTATGTGTTTAATGCTGGTCTAACAATCATTAATTCATGATGTTTTCTAGGTAAAACTACGACCTCCTCACTACAATACAACAATCTTTAACTCATCATATTTTTTGTTTTGCTATTGATATTTCTACAAGTCGAGGGTTACATAATTTCCCAACATATTCACCAAGAGCTTTTTATATGAGACAATCAAATCGTATGTACATTTTTGCTGGATTATTACAACCACCATTTTATGAAAAAAATGAAGATCAATTATTGAAATTTATTGGATTAGGTTGGGTTATTGCTCATGAATTGTTACATGTATTCGATGTAACAGGTAAGTTGTATTGTAAAGTTTGTTAACTATACATTTAGGGTTTTTTTTTCTATTTTGATGAATAAAATGTACTCATCATCTGAAGTTAATTAGCTGATGATTTTATGTTGGTTATTTTTAACTCTGTTGATTATGTGCTATACTGTGTTATATAGAGCTGATGGTTTCATTTGAGACTAGAGGTTCGCTATGATAAACATTGTGGATAGCTTAGCGTTGCTTTGGTAAGTGTTGCTAGCAGTTCATTTACAAAAAAACTGGTTTACAAGGTGACTAGTTTCATTGATAACGGTAGTGTTTTGGAACATTCCTGAGGGCTGTCATCATTAGCGTGCGGTATTACGTATCACCATTGTTAATAAAAGTGAGTTTGACAGTCATGTAAGCTGAATGGATCGAATAGGCCTCTTAATACTGAGCGTATTGATTGACGTGACCATGGTCAATCAGAGTGTCAGGTACCAGTTTGTGATTGCACCATGTGATAGAGCCCAGCTATTTATGTTTAAGCGTTAACAGATAAGCAGTCTCCTTGGTTCTCCTGAGAAGCAATGTAATATTACCCCCGCCAATAGAAAGTTAATTTATATACATTTTTATAATTTGACGGATAGGAGAATAAGTATCTTTCACTATACCTCAACTTACAGCGTGAAATTTTTAAATTTAATGAACGTGCATCCATTCAATATTTCTGGAATGAAATAAACTAATTTTAGGTTGATTCAATTATTTGTAACCATGAATCGATCGATGTTAGACCACCATTAGAAACCTGGAAGCACTGAAAGACGGCCGTTTCGTCCTGGTATGGGACTCAACAAGAGTGCGCATCCACGACTCCTGTATGAGGTCGCGCAAAATCCTTAGATTTATCAGATTTAGACAATAACACCGTTGGGTGCAAGCCGGCCCAGTGATCCAGAGGTTAGGCGTTCATGTGCAAGATCGAAGGTCCCGGGTTCGAATCCTGTGGGATGCAGGAGTCGTGCATGCGCAGTGCTGATGAGTCCCATACCAGGACGAAACGGCCGTCCAGTGCTTCCAGGTGTTTCTAATGGTGGTCTAACATTGATTGATTCATTGTCACAAATAAAACTTAACAATCTTCACAACAACCCCGCAATGATTCAATTATGAAGAAATATACGTGACTTTATTCATTCAATCATTAGTTCTAAAATAAGCGTAAAAAAATATTAGTTATAGAATTCTTAGTTAGAGTTGTGGAGATAATCGACTTTTCTTTACACCTTAGAAATCATCAACCAATCATTGTTAGATTACTCCATTAGAAACCTGTAAGAACTTGACGGCCGTTTGTCCTGGTATGGGACTCATCAGTGGCAGTGCGCATACACGACTCCTGCAACCTGGCTGGATTCGAACCGGGGACCTTCGATCTTGTGCGCGAACGCCTAATCTCTGGACCACTGGGCCGGCTTGCACCCAACGGTGGTAATGTCAAACTCTGATCAATCTAAGGATTTAGTGCGACCTCACTGGCCACGTCTTCTCACTAGAACTCCGAGAATTTCCTCAGGAAGCTAGTCAATAGTGAGCAAATTTCACGATATTTCCATTTAGAGTTATGGAGATTAGTGATTTTCTACACATTAGAAACTATCAGTCAATTATTGTTAGGTTAAGCGTTCGCGCACAAGATCAAATGTCCCAGGTTCGAATCTTGCCAGATGCAGGAGTCGTGAATGTGAATTATCACTGATGAGTCCCATACCAGAATAAAATGGCCGTCTTGCAATGCCTCCAGATTTCTAATGGTGTAATCAAACAATGATTGATTGATGATTTCTATAGCTATATAATTGTTAAATGCAGTTTTTTCAATAAATGTACGAATTGATTTATTTTCATATAAATATTAGGTTCACTTATTGATGCAGACGGGAATTTTGGATCAGTTACCGATTCCAATGCAGGACTTATAGCGAATATAAAGAAAGCGAATTGTCTACGTTTTCATTATAAAAATTATCCAGCGTCATCAGTTAAGGTTAGAATTGTTTTTTTTCTACAAAAGGAAGAGATTCATGTTCATTATTTTCTTTTTTTGGATAAACTGTATGCATCACTGGCAGAAAAAATGTACAGAAAAATGATAAATCTTTTTTATTTTAGAGTAGATGAATTTTATTACTGTAAAATATTTGAGTATTTCATTCATGAATATCCTAGATGCTTCTTTGGTTAAGGATCGAGTCGAGATTGACTATGATCACCACCACCAAATACTAATTAGGAACCCGATGAAGTATGGAATAACTGCAGCCTACGTGAATAGAATAGCAATTCATAGAGCTGTAGGGAATCGATACAGAGTACGGCTAGGGGGATATCAGCAAAGATGAACATCCACAGATAGTGTCGTCGATTATTCAGGTTGGTAGTTAGCTGTCGTGTACCGTAGGTAGGAATGACAGAGCTATTCGCAGCGCGTGGTCGAAGCATTGTAGCTTATGACCAAACGATACGACAGAAACTTGGGCACTTGTGGACACCAAGTACCTAGCGTTAGTGCAAAAATCGAGCACGTAAAATAAACTAACAACCTGAAGTGACGGGGAGGAGACAGGTGAAAATGCAATGACCTGCATCTCGGAGTTGATTATTATAGCTATCCACCATTTTGAAATGTTGCGGCAAGTATACTTTATAATAAAGGATGGTAATAATAGTATTACAACTTGGTAAAACTGAGGATAGATGAATAGTAGACTCACCGTAATTGACTTCTTTGGATAAAACGTCAGCTCATCAATTTTAGTGGTGGCCAAGTGGAAAGTGACTATGATCACCACTAAATACTAATTACGAACCCGTCACTGAGAAGATAAATTAAGCCAGGGTAAAGAATATATTAGCAACAAAAACAGAAAGTTGAGCGTAAAGAAGTGTTATATACAAAAAGTACAATGAAAGGATCACTGGTACAATTTATTTTAATAATGAATGTTTCTATTAAATCAATTGCGTTCTGTTGATAAAAGTATTCCACTTCAATTCAGCTGACAGATCATGTTAGGGTGTAGGGAGAATTCGATTTAAACCGATTTCTTCTCGCGTGCTGTTACGGGTATAAAGGTGGTTGTCACTTTCCAGGTGCCCACACCGTGGAAGGTTGTTTCATGAGGAACCTGAAAAGGAAGGTAGAATAATGCTGGCCTAAGAGACCTGGGAACGTGACTGCAGAGCCTAAGAGGCAACTGCTAGAGGCCGGTCACGCGCTGCCTTTTTATGAGAGGTTTTTTGAGTTTTAGCTCCGCTCTTAAAACCGCTTAGTGCGCATCCTTACCGCACGAGACTTCGATCCGTGAGGTAGGGTGAGTTGTGACATTTTTAGGGTCGATATTCTCTAACCCTTCCTTCCTTGTGAGAAGGCAATATCGCTGCAGATGCTAATTGTCCGAGGCAAACACCTTACTGCTGTCACACCCCTCTTCAGCCAGCAATACGACTTCACCCTCAAACCTTGAGTAGCTACTTTTAGTCTCATCGCTCTACGATTGTTGGGGATGTTAGATCCCCAGAACTTGTTTAATAAATGCCGTAACCTGGATTTCACATTTGCGAGCATGGGCTGATCGGTCGACCTTGAGATTTCATTTCCCACCAGGAAAATCTATGGCTGTGATTGGCTGCTGTTTATTTTAGTGTGCTATTTTTGTGACTGTCCTAAGGACTTTTCTATGATGTATAAATAAACGAGATTTGTGTGTTTGATTGCATTGTGATTGCTGGGTGTTGAAGAATATACTTTCTACGCTATATCAAGACTTCTGTTTTGCAGTTTGGGACTCAAGATAGCCTACCTGGACTCTGGTAATTGTCTCGTTCGCGTTTATCGACTAAGGTGAACTGGTAATAGCTTCAAGCGTACCTAGTGACGAACGTAAGATCAGTCTACCTGCCTGGCATGGTAGAACCTTCAGGAACATCTGTTTTAGCCAATATAGCTCGGTTGGGTCATCGCGATAGGCAAGGCCGACCTCCACGTCAATGTGGAATCTACGGTCGGGATAAATCATGGTTTTCAACTGGTATCTTAAATAAGATCTTCTGTCTCCCCTTCTGTTTCCGTTTCATCATAACCAGTGAAGCATCATAGTGAAGAAAATAATTATCGAATGAATGAAATTGTCAGCTTTTTAGAAAAGAAATCACAGAGAAAAGACTCATCGTAACATGATGATTTTATTGCTTATCTTCTCCCTCCCTTTGTCTTCAAATAAAAACCCGAGGAAATACTTAAATTACAAGATCCAATTCAAATGATCTCATCAGATGTAGTCATTAAAACCTGAATGAAATGGTTAGAAGCGTTAATTACTAATTTTCTCCATTTTTTTCCCGAATCACTGTATATTTTAGAGTGACAGGATTGGAACACAAGATGAAATTTTGGCCGACAATGGAGCATTGAAAATAATGTACAATGTATGTATGAGCCCAAAATTTAAATGTTCATATTTTTTTTCTTGATAAAGTCACACTGTACAAGATTCACTCCCAGAGAAGTGAAGTTTCAGTGTGTGTGACAGCTCACAATACTCCATTAATATAATCTTCGATGTGTCAGGTAGATAGATAGTTCAGTTCAAACGATGAACAAACAGTGTTGCAACAGAAATCTAGTTAGGAGTTACTAGTTCCAAATGGAGAATATGAGTGCTGTTAAAATTTCTTTCTGAAATCAGAATTGCACATATCTATTTTTCGCAATTACAACAATAAGAAATGTTGAGTCGTAGATCAATTGTCAGATTTAGTCATTTTATGACATTTTATGATAGATAGTAATCCAGAATCATCAGTGTGTTTTTCGCTTTGGTCGTAGGATGCACAACTTCACAGAACTGGTTCACAATCAGAACTGTCGAAATCAGTCTTAAAGATAAAATTTTACTTTCTGAAATCCCTTCTCTCTATTTAGCACAAACATTTCATTCTCTCCGAAATGTGAGATTAGTTAAGCAATTTAGTACTGAGATATATATTTAGACAAAACTCTAGAATAAGATACAAGTTGACTAACTATTGAAATTGAGACTTTGGTTGTTAAGTTCAACTTTAGTTGAACTTGTCACTCACTATCTCACTTTCATCACTGTTGTATTCATGTATGACATCCATTTCATATAAATTTCTTTATTAATCACTTTTCAGACATTCCGAAGATTTCTAGCGGAACAACATATCCGAAATTCCAGTCGAATCTTACATTTGAGTCGATCGTTTTTTCTGAAATTTGCACGAGTAAGTTGATGCACCAATATATATATATATATATATATATATATATATATATATATATATATATATATATATATATATATATATATATATATGAATGTTATTTTCGTTTTTTACAAAGATTACTCTGATGAGATTGACTCATTTGAGTTTTTGATGATTAAGTCTAAGGTGGATTGAAATACCAGTGATTTAACTGATCATTGTAAACATGCATTTTCAAATTTATTTGTTCAACCATGGAGTTATCATTTAGGATTTTCATCACAAAGCTTTTGGCATTCATTTTTATTCATTTTCTTCAGATTAAAGTAATGAAGATCAGTGTTTTTTTATACATCGAAATCACTAATCAATCATTGTTAAGCCACCATTAGAAACTTATAAGCACTGGAAGACTGTTTTATCCTTTCACGGGTCTTATCAACAGTCAGTCAGTCAATCAGATGCAACGTAGAACTTCGTACGTAAGTACATCAGTTCATGTCGCCATACCACATCAGCATACAGATGTAATCGTCAATTCAAATCAAATAGTAGAAGAGGTAGTAAAGGTATTAGAAGTAATCGGAGAGGTTATTATTAGAAGATATTATTCAAAAGTATGATTCAGTGAGATAAGTTTAGAAAGTTGAAGAATCCAGAAGATTAGGATTTGAGAGAACACAAAGAATAAACGCACCGGCGCCATTGTGAACGATTTTGAGCCATGTCATTCAAGGTCTCTAACCATCGGTTATTATCATCTCGCGGACCCCAAACAGGTAGTCCACAATTACCGACATGGCTAAGTCCACTCGTCAATGACGTCACTGATTTCTGCCATGTTTTGGTTTGGCCGCCCCTAGCTTTCTTCAAACCTATTCCTACACTACAAAACAAAGCTCGACTAGGCAGTCGGTGGTTGAGCATACGCAGCACATGTCCCAACCATCTCAACTGATGAAGTTTCATTGCTTCGTCTATTGATCTGCCATTGTTACCTAGTACTCGTTTCTTAACGACAGCATTGCTTACTCGGTTGTCCCATAAAACACGAGCAATGCTTCGAAGACATCAATGTCGAAAACCAATAACCGACGAATATCTTCTACTCTCACTGGCCATGTTTCACAGCCATAAAGTAAGACGGACCGAACTACTGCGCAGTACACTCGTCCTTTAGTCAGCAAACGGATATCTCGTCTACGCCATAAGTGACGCAGGTTGGCGAAAGCCAATCGAACCTTCTGTATCCGAGCTGAGATTTCGTCAGTCACCAGGCCATCGCCACTGGTGAGACTCCGAAGATAAGTGAAGCGGTCTACACGTTCGACTTGTTCACTCTCTATCACTAGTTCAGGTGCCGATGCAACCCAATCTTGAAGCAAAATTTTGCATTTCGATGGGGAAAACCGCATCCCGAACATGCTAGGATTGTTGCTTAGGGTGGTCAGAAGACTCTGCATTTTTTCAGCGTCTTCACCAACTAGGACTATGTCATCTTATCAACAGTGTTTCAGAGTTTAGGCGTTCGCCAGCAAGAGTGAAGGTACCAGTTTCGATAAATATCTGACCTTATTGCGGTTGTAAAATAGTATAGTTCTTTATTAATGTTAGAAGTAGAAAAGTTTCTATTATACAAAATGCTAATCGTTTATCTATGTACTTTCATTCATATGTAGTTTGAAAGTATTGCCGAATTGTGTTGAATCAAATCACAAAAATGATAGGATGAAGATTATTTTAAGAATAATCTGCAATTTGTAATATACACATTTTTGAAACCATGAATCGATCAATGTTAGACCACCATAAGAAACCCGGAAGCACTGAAAGACGGCCGTTTCGTCCTGGTATGAGACTCCTCAGCAGTGCTCATCCACGACTCCTGCAAAAATGTGTAACTCAACAATCTTCACAACCGTGTAATGCAAATTTGTAATACAGCAAAGAATCCTAACATTGACATTGTAATAAAGCCTTTTTTTGTTTAATTGAAATATTTAGGTTTTATGTGGCAGTGTACATGATGACGCAATGTCATACTATAAAGATTACATCAATCATATTCTCCCAAAATATAGGTATGTTCTTTTTAAGTAATTCAAAAATCACTGTCGATTTCTTGATGGTAATTGCATGTTGTTCAACAATGATGTATTGTTGTTTAAATGACAATGAAATGAACATGTTCGATGATATAATTGAAATCTGTATACCTTGAAGTGCATGTGTTTGTAAAGAATGATTTTGACCAGTTACCTCCTGAAAAGAATGTAATAAGCGAAACATTTCCAACAAAACAGTAGTTAGAACAACACAGATATAAGCGAACAATATTGTTGTTTTCGATTAGATCGTCATCAGGCTCTATACTCTAATCTATACATGAAAATTTATATGAAAATGTTAAAAGCAATCAAGGCAATTTGAGTGATAATCACAATGAAATGAAAAAGGCAAAAGTACAAGTGGATAGTAGGAAGATAGGTGAACCGATAGTAGTAGGAAAATTTATAAAATATGATAACTAAAGTAGGTCAAAGGTGGATGAATAGACTTCAAATAATCATTAAAAAAACATCAAAATCATTACGTAATAAGCAAACGTGTAAAAATAAAAAATAAAGTAGTGTCGAGCCTTAGTTACGTCATATCCGGCAACGGAAGAGATAGGAGTGTCACAAATTTCTTCTGAACACATAAATTGGGGTTGAATGTACGTATTCCTATGGCTTCTGCAATGTGTAGGAGACGGGATCGAACTCCGTTGGGAAATGATGGAGGTATACGATAGATCACCCGATAAGATCTAGACTTATCTACAATGTGACCACTATCTACCAGGTGTGCTGAGATAGAACTGCGTATTTTTTGACTGACACTTCGTAAACCATGCTGGGAGATGTTCACTCATTCGTTGAGTAGGTTGCCTGGAAGTATGCCCGATATAGCTATCTCCACAGGAGCAGCTGAATTTGTAAATGTACATAGAGGAGGCCAACTCAGGTAACTTATCTTTCGTTGGGGTAGTCATCGCGGGTTGACTGGAGAGAATGTCAATGCAAGTTTGGCAGCGTTGAATGTTCTATTAATTACTCTTATTAATTTGTCCTGCAGAGTATCGCAGGCCACATCTCTGTTGAATTGTAACTTCATAAATAAAGGCTTCTTTTGAGCGGCCGAAACCACCGACATCTTTTTTACGGCAAACATATACTTCTTGATGAATGCACTGGGATAACCAATCTCGGTTAGTGAGCCGTTGATGAATTCCAGCTTCTGAAATAAAGTATCCACTGAACATATCATAATTGCTCTGTTAGTAAGACGTCTAACCAAATTTCTTTGGTAGCGGATAGGTGTAAAACTACAAAAGTAAGTGTATTGGCAAACACTGGGATTTCTTCTATACACGGCTCAACTTAGTAAACCATCACTTTGCCTACTTAGTGTGATGTCAAGACAAGTCAGTTATTTATCATATTCTTCTTCACCACTGAACGTGAACGTGATATTTTTATTGATTATTTGAAGTCTATTCATCCACCTTTGACCTACTATTGATAAAACTTAAATTGACGTATTTTTCATTTCATTGTGATTATCGACTCTTAAATTGCCTTGATTGGTTTAACATTTTCATATACACATATTCATGTATATTAGAGTATAGAGCCTGATGACGATCTAATCGAAAACAACAATATTGTTCGCTTATATCTGTGTTGTTCTAATTTTCACAATGGGAATCTTTAAAACAATAGTTGCATAAGTTTATAACGTAACTGAATGAGTTAATTTCAGATCTTCCTGAAAAAAAAAACGTCAAATTTCAAGCCATCAAAAGTTTCATAACACACATTCAACATTTTGTGTGTAAAGATAGTTTTATGCTCATTGACACGAAGAAAATGTGTGAATCTTCAGTTTTTTTATGGAGATATCTATGCAAAGGCGTTTTATTTAACTTTTTTTCTAGTCATGAATTGACAATAGAAAACATTGAACAAAACCAGGATATTTAGACAGTAGTCAGTTAAATGTTTGCACTACACACACACACACACACACACAATTCATGTAATTTTTGCCGTTTTTTTCTTTCAGGGTAGTTGGCGCTTTATCAAATAGTGAAGAATTCGCTAGAGCATATAGCTGTCCAATCGGTTCATTCATGAACCCTTTGAAGAAATGTAAATTGTGGTAAGTTCCTCAAAAGTTGGATACACACACCAAAATATAGTTGGATTCATGTGAAAAAAAACATATCATTGTAAAATCTTCTGTCTTTTTGAAAATATTGTCGATCATTTACAATTATTAGAATACTATTTTTTATAAACAAACCTTTGTAAGTGAATTGAACAGAAATAAATTATTTTAATATTTCAATAATCAAAGACTTGCTCTTGTTCTTCTGAACATATGATTGATAAGAAATTTATCTTATCTAATGTATTGTTCTCGAAATAAATAGTATCTTTTACAATATACTTTCAGTTCTTTGTGAGATAATTATCATATCTCGGCAGCTGTTGGTCGGGATGGATCATTTGACTTAAGCACTGAAAATTGATTCTTCACTTGAAAAATCAAAAAATTTCTAAATCCTATTAGGACTTCTCTAATTTATATTTTTCACGAGCTAGTATAAATCAAATGATTTCTTTGCATTAAATGTTATTAAGGAGAAGATTTCTGGGACTAAGTAAATAATGCGTGCAATACGACCAAAGTTTAAGCATAGGAGAAGAAACAAATAATATAAGCGAGATAAATTAAGCAAGTAATCTCAAGAAATGGCAATAATAAGACAGCTGGTTTAAGAGGAAGATGGAAATCCGTATGTGAGTAAGTTGTCGATAGGTATCTTTTTAAAACTATCCACTGAGTGGTATGTGGTCACTTCAGGTGATAGATTATTCCAGTTTGCAACAACAATTCATGAGGGAAAGTGTGCACAAACCTGAATGTGCAATTTTTTTAGGATCACCTAGATGGTTGTGGTGTTGCTGTTACCTCCACAGGATGCTCATATTGGGGCGATTTGGCCTACTTAATGTGCTGTACGGTAACACCATACCACCTCTGATTCTTTTGTAACTCCGAGGAGATAATCCCGAGTGCTGTAGCCTATCTTGGCAAGGTATTTTACACAACCCTATCTTTTATTTAGTTCATCGTCTCTGCACTCGATCCCGGGGGTTTGTCTCTCCGCTGAGGACAAGGGCTCTGACGAGGTTCTGAAGCTCAAGATATGGGTATGCGTATGTTTTAAACATTGAAGAATAAATCTGTGATGATTTCATCAAGTTCTCTTGGCATAAGGTGTAGAGTTGCGTTGGCCTTGTCCGCGTCCTTAACGTTGTTTCAACTGGTGTTTAGGCTCTCTATGGTCATAGGAACCAGAAGGCACTCTGACCTGTAAGCGAAAACGAGTCCACTTAAAATCTCTCGCTAGTGCAGTCGGTCAAAAATGAAAGAAGCAGAAACGAAAATTGCATTACAAGCTGGTTGCCATTTATTATGAGTGACTCAGCGCTAAGATACAGTAGTGCCTAAGCAGTATAATGTGGACATATTAATTTGCTTTTGTACTTGACTCTAGTATTATTGCGCGCAGACTAGAAAAAATATGCCATCGGTTTAAAAAAGGTAGGCATAAAATCTCTCTAAAACTGGGCTTATCCTTCTACACAAGTATACCTCGATAGTCCAACACAGGTTCGAATAACCGCGCAACTATAAAAGTCAGAACCGGTGCTTATAACCTAGCTAAACTGTTTTCGTGGTATTTTTCGGACTGGAGAATGAGTTGTATGCTTTTTTCGCCGAATATATTTATTGATCGTATGTTGTTCGAAAAGTTCATTCTCGAGGTAGCTTTTGCAGGTCGGGCTTTGTTCACTGATTTAGTGGTTGTGGCTCTGGCTGCAACTGAATATACAATGAAAAAAAACTACACTTTTAATTTTGTGTACTACAATTGGGAGAAACTCCGCCAGTAGAACCTTAGGGGCTACTGCCGGTCCCAAGCCCGGATAAAGGAGGAGGGTTGGACATGGGGTTGGCGACCCCATTCCGTCAAAAACTAACTTGCCAAAAAGACGCTAACCAGAAAATATAATTCAAACCATTTTAACTCTGCCCTAGGATTTGGAAGATGAACTATGACGTCTCGTAATGAAAGCCGAGTTCCCTCGGAAGTCACGGGACCGATGCCTCTTCTGACAACCAGAGCAACCATTTTTTTAGGTACATGGAACGTTCGTACATTGTGGGAGACTGGAAGACTTTTTCAAGTTGCGGCAGAAATGAAAAGATACAACCTCGAGGTGCTCGGAATCAGTGAAACACATTGGACACAAGTAGGACAACTGAGACTTGCTTCAGGGGAACTGCTGTTATACTCTGGTCATGAAGAGAAAAACGCTTCACATACTCAAGGAGTTGCACTGATGCTGTCCAAACATGCACAAAAGGCACTGATAGGATGGGAATCTCATGGACCTAGGATCATCAAAGCATCATTGAAAACAAAGAAACAATGAACGTCATCCAATGTTATGCACCTACCAACGACTACAATGACGACGATAAAGATCAATTCTACGAAAGGCTGCAGTCAATCGTCGATAAATGTTCACCAAAGGATTTGACGATTCTTATGGGAGACCTGAATGCCAAGGTTGGAATGGACAACACTGGATATGAAGACATCATGGGACGACATGGACTGGGAGAAAGGAACGAAAACGGTGAGAAATTTGCAAACCTATGTGCCTTCAACAAACTGGTCATCTGTGGCACAATATTCCCGCACAAACGCATTCACAAAGCCACATGGATTTCACCGGACCACACTACTCAAAACCAAATTGACCATATCTGTATCAACAAAAAGTTCAGAAGGACCATGGAGCATGTGAGAACCAAGAGAGGAGCTGATATAGCTTGAGACCACCACTTGCTGATCGCCAAAATGAAACTGAAGCTAAAGTAGCACTGGACAACCGGGCAGACAACATCACAAGTTTAATACGGCCTTTCTTCGGGATACCGTAAAACTCAACGAATTCAGGATAGCCCTCACCAATAGGTTCCAGGCCTTTCAAGATCTACTCAATGGAGAGGACACAACATTGGAGAACAATTGGAAAGGGATTAAGGAGGCAATCACTTCAACATGTCAGGAGGTCCTTGGTCGCAAGAAGCAGCATCACAAGGAATGGATCTCTGTTGGTACTCTTGAAAAAATTCAAGAAAGGAGGAACAAGAAGGCAGCAGTGAATGTCAGCCGAACAAGAGTAGAGAAAGTTAAGGCGCAAGCCGAGTATACAGAAGCAAACAGGGAAGTGAAGAAGAGCATCAGAGCTGACAAACGAAAATATGTGGAAGATCTAGCAATGACGGCGGAAAAGGCTGCAAGAGAAGGAAACATGAGACAATTGTACGAAACAACAAAGAAGCTCGCCGGGAACTATCGTAAACCAGAACGACCAGTGGAAAGCAAGGAAGGGAAAATAATCAGCAACACTGAAGAACAACGAAATAGGTGGGTAGAGCACTTTAAGGAACTATTGAAACGACCGGCTCCACTGAACACACCCAACATCGAAGCAGCATCCACGGATCTCCCAATTAATATTGGCGCACCTACGATTGAGGAGATCAGTATGGCCATCAGACAAATCAAGAGCGGCAAAGCAGCAGCACCAGACAACATTCCAGCAGAGGCAATGAAAGCAGATGTGGAAGCAACTGCGAAAATATTCCACATTCTCTTCAAGAAGATTTGGGATGAGGAACAAGTACCATCAGATTGGAAAGAAGGATACCCGATCAAAATACCGAAGAAAGGCGATCTCAGCAATTGTGAAAACTACAGAGGCATCACTCTTCTTTCAATACCAGGCAAAATCTTCAACAGAGTATTGTTAAACAGAATGAAGGACTTCGTAGACGCCCAACTTCGAGATCAACAGGCTGGATTTCGTGAGGATCGATCGTGTACTGACCAAATTGCTACATTACGAATCATTGTAGAACAATCAATTGAATGGAACTCACCACTCTACATCAACTTCATCGACTACGAGAAAGCATTTGATAGCGTGGATAGGAAAACACTGTGGAAGCTTCTTCGACACTATGGTGTGCCTGAGAAAATAGTCAACATCATACGGAATTCTTATGATGGATTCAACTGCAAAATCATACACGAAGGCCAGCTAACAGACACTTTCGAGGTGAAGACCGGTGTCAAGCAAGGTTGCTTACTCTCACCCTTTCTCTTTCACCTGGTCATCGACTGGATTATGAAGACGTCAACATCTGGAGGGAAGCACGGTATCAACTGGACAGTTAAGACGCAGCTGGACGGTCTGGACTTCGCAGATGATTTGGCTCTCCTATCGCACACGCAACAACAAATGCAAGAGAAGACGACCAGTGTAGCAGTAGCCTCTGCAGCAGTAGGTCTCAACATACATAAAGGAAAAAGCAAATTTCTCCGATGCAACACAACATGCACCAACCAAATCACGCTTGATGGAGATGCTTTCGAGGACGTTAACAACTTTACATATCTGGCCAGCATCATCGACGAGAAAGGTGGATCGGATGCAGATGTGAGCGCGCGGATCGGCAAAGCGAAGGCTGCATTTCTACAATTGAAAAATATCTAGAACTCCAAACAATTTGCAAACAAAACAAAAATCAGGATTTTCAATACAAATGTGAAGACAGTTCTAATGTATGGAGCGGAAACATGGAGAACTACCAAAGCCATCATCCAGAAGATACAAGTATTTATGAACAGCTGTCTACGCAAAATACTTCGTATTCGTTGGCCAGACACCATCAGCAACAACGTACTGTGGGAGAGGACAAACCAGATTCCAGCGGAGGAGGAAATCAGGAAGAAGTGTTGGAAGTGGATAGGACACACACTACGAAAAGCACCTAACTGCGTCACAAGACAAGCCCTCACATGGAACCCTCAAGGCAAAAGGAAAAGAGGAAGGTCAAGGAACATATTACGCCGAGAAATAGAGAAAGATATGAGAGGAATGAACAAACATTGGACAGAACTGGAGAAGGAAGCCCAGGACAGAGTTGGTTGGAGAAAACTGGTTGGCGGCCTATGCTCCATTGGGGGTAACAGGCGTAAGTAAGTAAGTAAGTAACAATTGGGAGACCCTGTTT